AATATATTTCTCCCATTTTTATGGTGGCTAGCAAGAGAATGTGCTCAGGCAGATTGCCATTTTTCTACAAAGCCAGCCATCATTGACCTTAACAGGCTTTAGCGGGGAGAGCTGTAATGGTGAGTTGATCTCCCCCTGTCTCTCTAGGGTCCTTCCCTCTGAAGTCGAGGTGTTAGAGTCTATCTACCTGGATGAACTACAGGTGGTTAAAGGAAATGGCAGGTACGTATTCAACTGGAGGTGGGCAGGAGTCCCCTTAGTAGTGAGAGAATTCAGTGTAGAATCTGTGAGTCTTGATTCACAGAGAATGTTCTCTCATGTAGACAAAGACTATTCCTTTAACCCTCACCACCAAAAGAAAGCCCAATGCTCACTTCCCCTGCCCACTTTACTGTCTCAACCCCGTCCTCCCCAGCCCTCGAGCCCCTCCCCAGTCACATCCCAGGTCTCCACTTTATCCATCTGCAGATCTTCATCATGGGAGATCTACATCACTCTGCACCCTGCCACTGCAGAAGACCAGGACTCACAGTATGTCTGCTTCACTCTGGTGCTTCAGGTCCCAGCACAGGTGAGGCCCCTACATCGTGATGGCAAAGAGAGGAAGGGGAAAGGCCCGGGGTTGGAGTGCTTTAGCAGTAACTTATCTCCTCCCACTAGTACCCCCACGAGGTGCCACAGATCTCTATCCGTAACCCCCGAGGACTCTCAGATGAACAAATCCACAAGTAAGTGGGCTGGTCAGAGCAGGGAAAGCTCGGGATACAGCTTGGTCTGGTGAGGGAAGGGGGCCGGCCTAATGTTTGCTTTGACCTCTTCTTCCAGGATCTCACAGGCGCTGAGCCACGTGGCCAAGGCTGGGCTGGGTACTGCCATGCTCTATGAACTCATTGAGGTAAGGTGTCCTAGCCTTCCTTCCCTTCAAGCTAGAGCAGTTTCTCGCAAGGGAAGCCCTGGGCCTAGAACCTTGAATATATCTGGAGTCATTTGTTTAGTCCTTGTGTAGGTAAGGCCGAAATTAATCCAAAAAGCTGAGACTCTCTTCTGTTTCAGAAAACTCCCCAAAAGACAGTTCTATAGTTTCCACAAGTTGCCTATTCCAGCGTTTTGACGGAAAATTACTGTTCCGCTTTAACTCGCGTTTTCCTTGCTTCAGTTCCAGTGCATTTCTTGTTCTCTTGGCACTGGCAACTGAACGTGGCAAGAGACCTGGATCTTGCCTGGAGGGTCATCCCCATAAATGAACATCTGAAGGCTAGTCCGCCATTGGAGCTGACTAGAAAAAGTCCTGATTCTTTTACTCCGAGTTTCTATCCTAGCGAAGGAGACAACACACATGAAGCAACGCTTAGAGCTATCAGTTAATATACACAGATAACTTTTGTTATTTGACACTGAAAACACACAAGTACAGTCTTGTTTTCCTCTACTTTGAGTTTTTAGGAAAAATGTTCAGAAAACAATGAAAGTGGGTGGCCTAGAGTCAGAGAGAGTGGGCATAGACCACTGTAGCACTCCTGAGTTAGGCCTCCACAATGCAGCTTGGAATTCCAGAATGTCAGCTCGTCAAACAACAGTGCAAATGCATATTTCATAGCTCAACTCAGTGCCTTTTGAATTCTCTATTTGGGTTGTCTGTGCCTTGACTTTGTTTCTGAAAGCCGACTCCAGAACAAACTCATTGGGGGAGTGATACTCAAAGGGGGTTAACCAAGAAAGGCCTCCCAGAAGATGTGAGTTTTAATTGAACATTTTTTTCTCTCTAAGGTATATTTTTTTCATTCCCAAGATATATTAGAAGTGACTAAAGGAGTGGAAAAGCAATTAAATTGGATTTTGAAGCCCAGCAGATTTGGGGGGAGAGGCAGGGATGTGGAGGAGGATTGATTCCCAGCAGAGGGAGCATCACCAAGAAAGAAATGCATGAACACGAGGGGACACACAGGCTGGGTGGGAGGCAGTCCCGCCAGTCACTCCTGGGATGAGTAGACAGGCTTTGCTCAGAGTGCTTGCTACTGCCTCCCTCTTTTTTTTTTTTTAAAGATTTTATTTATTCATTTTTTTCCCCCCAAAGCCCCAGTAGACAGTTGTATGTCATAGGTTCACATCCTTCTAGTTGCTGTACTTGGGACTCGGCCTCGCGTTGGACGGAGAGGTGGTGCCTTGGGGCGTGCCCGGGATCCGAACCCGGGCCGCCAGCATCAGAGCGCGCGCACTTAACCGCTAAGCCACGGAGCCGGCCCTACTGCCTCCCTCTTTGAACAGTGTCTTCTCTCCTCTCAGAAAGGGAAGGAAATTCTCACGGATAACAACATCCCCCATGGCCAGTGCGTCATCTGCCTCTATGGTTTCCAGGTGGGTTTCTCTCTTGGGACCTGGGATCTGCTTGGGACGGGCAGTGGAGGGCTCGTGAGAGAGCTCTGACGCAATGCCCTACATCTGTCCTCCCTGCAGGAGAAGGAGGCCTTTACCAAAACACCCTGTTACCACTACTTCCACTGCCACTGCCTCGCGCGGTACATCCAGCACATGGAGCGCGAGCTGCAGGCTCAAGAACAGGAGCAGCAACGGCAGCGTGCCGCCACCAAGCAGGTCGACCCTCTGGCCCTTGCTCCCTTGACACCACCAACTCTCACAACTTTTTCTGTCCCTCCACTCCAGTGACTCTTAGCTTCTTTGGGTCATAGATACCTTTGAGATACAGCTCACCTCTGTCGAGAAAAAAGGGCATCCTTATATACATGTAAGGGTATGCGGGCAGTTTCAGGGGGTTCCCAGACCTCTAGCTGGGCAGCCCCTGCTCTGTCCCACCTCGCTGCTGAACCCGTATGTCCGTGCCCTTCCGTCCCAGCCCTCTGCAGCTTAGGCTGGCTGGCTGGGTGGGGCAGCTGGCGAGCATCCTGGGCCGTGAAGCAGGGGTGTGATTTCTCCTCTCTTTTTAGAAGGCTGTGGGTGTGCAGTGTCCAGTGTGCAGAGAGCCCCTCGTGTACGATCTTGCCTCACTGAAAGCTGCCCCTGAACCCCAACAGCCCGTGGTAAGGGACCTCCCTTCTAATCTGAGCCAGGAATAACGGCATTCTCCAAGGAGGGAGGAGCGGCATCTTGTCTGCCTCAAGTGGGATCCGGGGCTGGCCCGGTGGCGCAGCGGTTAAGAGCAGCGCTCTGCTTCAGTGGCCCAGGGTTCGCAGGTTTGGATCCCGGGCGCGCACCGATGCACCGCTTGTCAAGCCATGCTGTGGTGGCGTCCCATATAAAGTAGAGGAAGATGGGCATGGATGTTAGGTCAGGGCCAGTCTTCCTCAGCAAAAAGTGGAGGATTGGCGACAGGTGTTAGCTCACGGCTAATCTTCCTCAAAAAAAAACAAACGGGATCTCTGGAGTTGGGCTTGAGCTGCCTGAGACCTCTCTGCAAAGCCACAGCCCCCACTGGGAGCCCAAGGCTTCATTTGGGAGTCCAAATCTAAAGGATAAAACCAAGAACCTTGTGCAGATCTCCTGAGGGGTCCAAGTCTGCTGCCGCCTGCTGTTTATTCTCCCCCCCCTGCCATTCTGCTCCCTGCCCCCCAGGAGCTGTACCAGCCCAACGCAGAGAGCTTGCGCCAGCAAGAAGAGCGCAAGCGGCTCTACCAGAGGCAGCAGGAGAGAGGGGGGATCATTGATCTTGAGGCTGAGCGTAACCGGTACTTCATCAGCCTGCAGCAGGTGAGGGAAGGGTTTCCCACTCCTCCCCCAATGCCACCAATTTTCCTACCAGCCCCCCTCTGCCGTGGTCCTAGGGTGAGCTTTGTTCTACCCAGGGAGGTTGTGGGCTGATGGTGGTTGGCTCAGATAGGGGGCGAGGGGCCTGCGGTTCCCTCCTTGGAGGAACCGCATCTCCCTCGCTGCATCTGCTCTGCTTTCTAGCCTCCTGCCCCTTTGGAACCCGAGTCAGCTGCAGATGCCTCTGGAGGATCCCATTCACCCGGTGCCCTCGCCACAGAACTGTCCACCTCATCAACTGCCCAGCCCACCCTGTCAGCTCCTCTGCATGTGGCCTCCCAGTACATGTGCGAGAAGATGCCAGGGGCTCGGCCAAATCAGCAGAGGTTGGGCGAGACCCAGAAAGCTATGCTAGATCCGCCCCGGGCCAGTCGAGGCCCCTGGAGACACCCCGAACGGAGGCACTTAAAGGGAGGGGAGTACAATGCCCCCAAAGGTACCAGTGACACCCCGGAACTGCCATCTCCTGAGAGGCCCCTCAAGGAGCCCATGGACCTAAAGCCAGAACCCCATAACCAAGGGGTTGAAGGTCCTCCCCAAGAGAAGGGGCCTGGCAACTGGCAGGGTCCCCCACCCCGCAGGACTCGGGACTGTGCTCGCTGGGAGCGCTCCAAGGGTCGGACGCCAGGTTCTTCCTACCCCCGCCTGCCTCGGGGTCGGGGAGCCTACGGGCCTGGTACTCGAAGGGAACCCCTGAGCCTGGAATCTGAGGACGGTTCCTAGCAGTACCGTGGGGGCACTTGGGGATTTGGGGTGGGAGGAGGACAATAAAGAGATTTGGCCTTGTTCAGCTTTCTTTGCTCAGTAGTGCCCAGCCTATGAAGTATGGCTCTCTTTCTAAATTCCTAACAAGACTGGAGTGTGGCAGGGTAGTCCCAACTTGGCTCTGAAGTCTGTTCTCCCAAGAAATTGGGGTCTGGGTAAAGGTGGGTCTGACATCTCAGCTAGTGTAGTGGGTTTCAGGGAAAACTGTGGATGCCATCATTTAAGTAGAATATGCAGGAACCATCCTGCCACGTAACCCACTGTGTATACCCCAACATTTGTTTATTTATGGATGGATTTTTTTTTAAATGTTAATGCCTCTAGGTGGACGACTGTGCTTTCCTGTTGGAGTCTCTCTTCTTCCCACTTTGTCTCAGGCTGTGCCCCCAGCTCTTGTATATGTGGATGCCTGGTGGCCCCTGTAGGCATCTGCAATTATAGCTCCTGCTGTTTACTCAAGTACCAATACAGGCAGGCAGAGCCCAGAGTGTGGCAGGTGTTTATTGACCTCCTAGAGGAGGAGAGCCGAGCACAGTCCAGTTGTCAGCTCCTCAGGGACTCAGCATTGTGAACTGCCCCTGCAGCATCATTTTTATACAGCATGAAGTAGCCCTGCACGTGGGCAGGACTGATCTGAGTTGTAGCTTGAAGGACACGTTCTGCAAAGGCCTCAGCCAAGGAAGGTGCTTGCCCTGGATAGAACCTCTGGAACATCTGGGTCAGCTGCCAGTGTGAGCAGTAGCCCACATACTCCTTCAGGTCTACCCGCCCGGGGCGTATGAGCGCAGGGTCCAGCCTAAGAGGAGAAGGCAGCAAAAGCAGAGTCACGAGCAACAGTACCAACAGCACCCAAGAAATGATGGTCCCTTCTGAACCTCCTGATCCTCCCAAAGCACTGAGGGGGTGGGGTCTTGCCTCACCGTCTCAGAGCACCTCACTCCCTCCTTACCTGTCAACATGGTTAGTGGTCATGAACACAATGCGTGCCTCGGTGGAAGCCACACCGTCCAAGGCATTGAGCAGTCCACTGAAGGTGAGACGACCTAGACCTTGGTACTTGACTGGGTCTAGAGGAAGGCAGAGATCAAGAAGCGCTGGTGGTCAGAGCCCTACGTAAAATGAGCAGCCCCTCCCATTCCCCACCACGTTCCCCTCCTTAGTGCCTCTTGTTGCTGACCCCGGCGTCCTCCATCAGCCCTCTGGCTTTCCACTTTCTTCCATTGGTCTTCATTTACTCCTATACCTCATTTACCCACACTTACAAACACTCCCCCTTCCCTCACCTCCCCTCACTTACTCTCCGCAGCCAGGTCTCGACTGAGAAAGGCAGCATCCACGTCCTCCAGGAGCACCAGGCTCTGCTGCGGGGCCACACTCAGCAGGTGGTTGAGCCGGTCATCGGAGAGGCTGGAGTCCGTGAGACTCAGCAGACAGATGCTGTGCTCCAGTTCCCCAGCCAGGGCTGTGCTATGGAGGATGGGGACAGGTGGTCAGAAGCCTGGGAATTTGTCCTTGGGCCCAGCTGCAGGTTCCTCACTGTACTAGGTGTGTGTCAGAGGCCTAACCCTCCCACCACCCCACCCTAATGTTCCACGGTCTCATGTTTATCCAAGTCCCTGTTGCCCACATTTTCTTTTCCAAACTTATCAGCCCAGTTTTTCTCCAGTTTGAGGGTTAAGAGAAATTGTGACTCTACTCACATAAAACTGCTCTTTCCGCAACCAGGGGGCCCATAAAGCAGATAGCCACGTCTGTAGGGAATGCCTAGGAATACAGCCAGGATGATCATCAAGACCTGAAATGAATCATGTTCTCTGCCCCAGATGTCCACATTCAATGCCAACCCTGCTGCCTGGAGGCCTGATGACCTTGCTATTGGAAGAAATCATCCCCGTAGGCAACTTGTCTTTCCCCTTCATCTCTGGGAGTTGGGCTGGAGCTTTATATTTGCCCCATCTGGCCACAGAGACCAGCCTGTTCCCTCCTGCTCTAACACCACATCAAAAACAGCCCGGCCAAGACCCCAGGTGCTTCTCACCTCTATCAGTGTACCACTTGGGGTTATCGATGAATTCCCGGATGTCTCTGACAATTCGGTCAGCCAGACCCTGTTCTAGAACCACAGAACTCAGTGGCCGGCGGCGGCGTGGATAGCCAAAGGGGCGCCATTCAGAGCCCACGGCTGTGTACATCACTGTCTTCCCTTCCTCCTGCTGCAAGGCTAGCTCTCGAGCTGGGAGGGGGGAGATGAGACAAAGCCAATAATTCCTCTCTTTGCCATGCAACCAGGCAGAGCTGTGCCAACACAGCTTCCCCCTGGTCTCTTGTTCCCATGGGCTCAGATCCTCCACTCCAAGCTTCTCTTCCTCTGATGTCAAATGCCCCCATCCCTGCAACCCCCCTATAAAGCCTGCCTGTGCCATCCCACACCTTCCTCCAGGATGCTGAAGAAAACTTTGCGGTCAGTGCCCAGAGCCGTGAAGGTGACGGATTCCCAAGGCGTCCCCGTCTGCAGGTCTATCATCTGCATCTGTCGGCTTCGTTCCACTCGGATCCACTTCCCTCGATACCTGAATAAGAATGGTCAAGACGGGGTGCATGAACAGGTCAAACCCAGCTCCCCTCATTCTCCTTTTCTACTCTCAGAGCCCTCCCTGGCTCCCAACCTTACCAGATAAAGTGGTTTCCAGGGCTGGGGACAAATTCAAACTTAGTGGAGATGCGGCCACTCTCATGCTGAAGATATGAAGTCTCGACACTGAGGTGCTGAGTCCGGGTACTGTGGCGGGTGAGCCAGCTAAGCAACCAGCCATAGCTCCTGTCTCGAGCAGGGACTTCTAGTGTGATCATGTAATGGCGCCGGAATGCCACCAGGCCCAACTGGACGCCCTTCCGGGCCAGGGCCAGGGCTGTGCCCACACCCACCAGCCCAAATCCAGCCCCAAAGTAAGGATTGTCCTTCAGGGCCAGAACAAAGTCTGAGAGGGGCATCTTGAAAGGGAAATGCCGAACTTTACAGGCCCTGAGGCATTTTCAAAACCTGGGGATGGGGAGCAGTGGAGATGGGACAAAACACAAAATTAGTTTAGAAACGCCTCCACAATCCCTCCTCACCCCTATCCCTTCCCTCCTGCAGAAGCCGGGAGCAGGAAGGACAGGTCAGCGCTACTGTGTGCTTCAATATCCTCCCTTTGCAGGTGGGGGTGGGGCTGAAATGCAAGGAATAAGACTCCAAGACCCTCCTCCCATTTTGCCCTTCATTATCCTGTTCATACCTCAGTCCAGAGGACTATGCCTGGAGATTTCCCTAAACCCGAGAAAACAATGTGACCGGCTTCACATCACGATGGATGGATAGAATTTTTGGAGTCCCTGGGATCAGCTGAGATAGAAAGGGCCCACTGGCCAGAGTTAGCAGGGGATGAAGAGGCTGTTTTCTTCTGTTGACCTGTCAGTAACCCCATGCCTTGTTACCATGAGTAATGTCCTTCAAATATCCTCTCCTTTACATGCTCAATTCCTAACGCTTATCCCTTTATTACCTCCCAGCTAAACTGTCTTAATCTTTAAAATTAATTTTAGTTCTTGAAATGGCATCTTAATGGGTCTCCACCTTCTGCTTCACCAAACTGCTACGCAGGGGTCCAGATCTTTCTTCACAAGCATCTGCTTCAATCGTATTACTCTCCCTACTCCAACACCTCCAATGGCTGCTCTCAAGAGACCCCTGAATTAGATAAAAACTCCTGTCCGGTACTCAAAACCCTCCGCAACACGGTGCCCAGCTGCTTTTCATGGCTTAGCTCCTAATACTCCCTGTTGAAAAAATATGCAACCTCCCTCCCTCCTGCTTACACAAGTTCTCTTGACTCGGAATGCCCATTCTACGTCATGCTCTCCATTCTCTCCAACTCACGTCCTTCCCACCCGCTACTTCCTCCATGGAGATTTTCCCGAATTCCCTCCAATAAAACGTGACCTGGTCTAACTCTAGGCTGTAAGATCCGGAGGGGCAGGAGGCCAAATCGTTTCTACCATACTCCCCCGCGCCCTGCCACTGTGCCCTGCGCCGGGCAAGCAAGGCGGTGAACTGACAGCAGTGACCTCGGCTGAGGCTCAACTCAGAACAGGATCCAGAATTCCAAAATACCTATGCACGGAAGGCCACATACAAAGCCCTTCCCGCTCCCGGTCCTTGTCTGACGCCAGGGAGCCCCCTCCTGAACACCCTCCGCAGCCCAGCTCGCGCCTCTAGCAACGTGGTTTGGAAGAACCCGTCACTCCGCCCCCTTACCGCCATGACTCTCTGGCCCTCCCTCTCTATGATTTCACGCCTCAGCACTTGAGGGAAGCGCCGCTCGGCCCCGCCCCCGAGTTCTTTCCTCTACTTCCCGCCACACCCACCAAGGGGGGGCCGTGCCACTCTGCTCCACAACTCTCTATGGCACACCCTGGGCTTCGCGGGTGAAAAACGACAGAGAAAACCATAGAGTACTCCGCCAGCCTCCAAGAGGAAGAGAGAGCGGCCTCCATGCGCCCGGCGCCCTAGAGGCGGCTGGGCCGGAGGCGGTCGCACAAAAGCGTCCCGGGAGGCCGCTCCAGCTGCTGGGCGACCATAGAGATGCGGCTCCCGCTGGCCCTGGGCCGGGAGGTGAGTGAGCCGCTGCGGGGCGGGAACTAGCAGGGAGTGCGGGCGGAGCGGGCTGGGGGCAAAGTTTCTCGAGCCCCAGGTGAGGGTGGGCCTGGGCGGCGGAACCCTCGGGAGGAGGTGCTGAAGGGAGCACGCTGCCGAGCCGGGCCCGGCGCTTCGCCTCAGCCGCCCGGTGCCTCGGCCGCGCCAGGGGTCTGGACCCCGCCCGGTTACCCGCTGCCTCTCCTCAGGACCGTAATCATGACGATGCTCCGTCCCAAGCCTTGCAGGTTACAAAACGCCTTTCCCATTCGCCGTATCTTGTGATTCCCGCTCCCGCCCAACGATCTGGACGCTGTCATCGCCTCCACTTTACAGATAGGGAAACTGAGGCCCAGAGAAGCGAGGTGACTGCATCTGCCGGAGGCCACGCGGTGAGTCCGAAAGGGTGGAGACCCGAGTGCCTTGGTCCCCAGGCCGGGTCTCATTCTTTCCCCAGGCCTTCTCTCTGACTTAATTTGCCCTTTCTCTTCCTCAATGTTCCTGCCCCAAAGATAAACTCATTTCTTCTCTTTCCAGCGGCTGAAGGTTCTCAATCGAGACCTCCTTACCGCGTCCTCCTTGGCTGCCCCCTGAGGCCACATATGGCCGATTTTCCAGAGCAGCGATAATACTCGGTAAGTGGAGGCTGCGGTTTCCAGACAATCCTTTGACCCCGCCACCTTCTGAATCCCCGTGATCCGAGATTTTAAGTTGCAGGATTCTCGCCTGCAACCTGATTTCCTAGCCCCAGGCCCCAACTTGACCTCCATGAGTCAATTTCATGAACTAGTTACTGTCATTCTTATTCATTACTAATTATTCAGCTTAAACTAATTTTAGCCATATATGACAGGACATGCAATCTAGTTAGCATTCATTTCTCAAGTGTGTTCCAGTGTTCAGTATGAGGCCATAGTCAATGAGTTTCAGATTTCTGCACGTGTGTTACTGTATGTGGAAGGAACCACTGGTTTGGTATCTTGGTAGAAACCTAGCTTTACTCTGATGTATCTCCGTGTCTACAGTTCTTAGCTGGAATCTCATTTGTCTAATTGCATAGATTCTTGGTGGTTTGTGTTCAGGGAAGGAATAATGTCAGTAAACTCCACTCAGAAAGCTCCAGGTCTCAGGAGAGGGACTGATAGGTAAACAAGAGTGCAGTGGGACGCAGTTTCCACTAGAGCTATGTACGAGATTCGGCCCCAGAGAGAGAGAGAGAGTAACTTAGGTGAACGGCATCGGGAAGCCTCCATAGTGGAAGTGACATTTGTGCAGATTCTTAAAGGATAGTTAGGAGTTGGTTAAGCAGATGAGAAGAGAGACAGAAAGAGGATGGAAGCAAAAGAGAATGTAATAAGTCTGGAGAACAGCAAATCATTGGTATGACTGGTTCAGAGATTGTTGAGGGGAGAAGTGGAAGATGAGTCTGGAGAGGTCAGCAGGGGCTGGATCATAGAGAAAGGGCCTTATATCCATGCTAAGGAATAGTAAAATCATAAAACGTTAAGAGGCGAAGGGACCTCTGAGATCCCAGTTTTGTTGCAGATAAGAAAACTGAGACCCAGATTGCTTAATGATTTGACCAAGGTTACTTAGCGCTAAGAAACATAACCTGCAGTCATTAATATATTGGCCGAAACTTGTTTTTAGCTCTCTTCTAATGTTGACCCCTGTTATCATTTTTATACTTTTTGTTGTAAACATTGTTATAAAAAGAAAACTTCTAGGTTAACTAGGTGTGGCATGCTGCCATGCAGGGAAATGCCCAAGTGGGCAGGCACTGGGCTGTGCATCTGCACCAACTGGGAAGAAAGTGACAGGTCTAATTCTGTTTTGTTTGGTTTCTCTTCTGGTTGGTTTATCAGCACGTAAGAGGCCACAGCACACAAGGTGGTGGTGATGACAGACCCTGTGTTGGACTCACAGCCAGCCAACAGCACTGGGGAGATGGATGGACTGTGCTCTGAGCTGTTGCTGATCCCCCCACCTCTCTCAAGCCGTGGACTTCTGGAGTCTGTCCAGAGCCCCTGTCCTTCTGGGAACCCCAGAGTTTTGCCTGCTGACCCAGGCTGCCTGCTGGTAGAAGCCACAGCAACTGAAGAGGACACGGGGAACATGGAGATCATTGTAGAAGCAGTAGCTGGAAACCTGTCCCCAGGTGCTCCTGGAGAGACCCCAGGTACAAACACAGATGCTAGCAGGCCAGTGGGACAAGCAGCCCTGAGGTTTTGTCTGTGCTATTTTTTCTCCTTCTATGTAAATATGATGAGAACACAAGATAGCATCCTATTTTTATCCTTAGAGATGTGTAATTTGATTTGCAGTTGGTGAATGTTGACTGAACGTTGGCGAGGTGGTGCACAATCTTGTACCAAGCTCTTGGCAGCCTGTCCCTGCGAGGGCTTCACATCTGCTAGGCGGTAATCCAGAAGGGAAGACCTTTCTGCCACCTCTGCCCACTCCTTACTCCTATAGTCCTCAGAGACTCTTTCTTCCATATTGACCTTCCCACCCAGGAACTGCAGCCAGGAATTAGGCAAAAGGCCCAGCCTCTCTCCGCTCCCCTGGGCTTGGCAGGGCTTCCCAGAAGTAATCTGGTATTTCCCTGCCCTAGTTTCTTGTGTATAACATACTTAACTCATCCAAGGCATATTTTAAGAGTGGGAGTTGAGCATTTGTATTTATACTAGAAGAAAGATTCTCCCCTTTATTCTTGTCATAGCTACAACTTCTTATTTTTAGGTGACTTCCCTGTTTTTTAACTGCCATCCTTCACCCACGGTTGTCACAACTTCCCTTGGCAGTGTACAAAGAATACTGGAAAAGATTTGTTAATTCGATCATATAATATTTCTAAACTTATATGTGATGAAAGAAATAATAAAGGAAGAGAGAACCTGGGAAAAATATTTGCAATATATAAGAAAGAGTTAACATCCTTAAAATTCAAAGAGCTCCACCATAAGAAAAAGAAACAGTATTTTTTGAAAAAAGGGAAAAAGAAATGTACATGCAGTTCACTAAAGAAAAAATAAAAATAGTCAATAACCATAAGGATTCTTAATCTCACTAACACACAAATTCCAGTTAAAAATAACTAGGATGGGCCGGCCCCATGGCTTGGCGGTTAAGTGCGCGCGCTCCGCTGCTGGCGGCCCGGGTTTGGATCCCGGCCGTGCACCGACGCACCGCTTCTCTGGCCATGCTGAGGCCGCGTCCCACATACAGCAACTAGAAGGATGTGCAGCTGTGACATGCAACTATCTACGGGGGCTTTGGGGGAAAAAATTAAATAAATAAAAATTATAAAAAAAAAAAAATAACTATGAGATGGGCCGGCCCCGTGGCTTAGCAGTTAAGTGCGCGCGCTCTGCTGCTGGCAGCC